GTGAAACTCACGTGGGTACAACATGGGCCACAGCCGTGAACACCCAGTAAGGTTACAGGTGCAGTCACTTAGGGAATGGTGTCCAGTTGGGAAGCGAGTCACGTACCAAGTGTGGATGGAAAGAGCAAGGATTCTCCTGGGGGCGGTGGGTCCAGAGGCCTCTGGTCACCCCAGGGTGGTCGATGCCTGTCTAGACTTCACTAAGTCTTCCAGTTCTTCCAGTTCTTTGAAGAAGTCCGTGGGTCTGGTTATCTCGTCTCCATCTTGAGGCCTGGTTTTCAGCCAATGTGTAGCTGTGGTGTGGTTCACCTTTGTCCTGGCCCTCTCGAGGACTTGGCCCTATCTGACTGCCTCTATTATTTTTACCTAGCTCATCTATCTATAACAATATGACTCACGTGACTACCATCTCAATCTAAGTGGAAAAAGGTCAGAGGCTCAGAAAAGGAGACATGTTAGAATGACTTTTTTTTAGGCCCAGAAGTCCCACCTGCTATGTTCTTCAGTGAGAACCCTGAGGTGGTTCCTTTCACTAAGGCAATAAGGAATGCACCAAAGACAGGGGGCCACATTATCATGAAACTCAAAAGTGGCTAAGCACAGATCTTGATCTTGTGGAAGGAGCAGTAGGCTGCCTGGCAGCAGTGGGATGAGAGGACCCAGCATGGCAGTGGAGTGATGTTCCCTTTTTTGACTTGCAAATAGTCTTCCTTCACCTGTCCATAGACTGCCTTGAATGGACCCTTATCTTACAGGACCAAGACCGAGACTATGGATTATCAAATTCCATAGATTTCCACCCCCCAAAACACATAAATATCCCCACTTCCAAACTGTAGGGCATCTCATTTCTCTGAGTGCCTGGACTCCACTCTTGAGTGTGGCCTAAAATCTCTGCCCAACAAACCTTTCCCATGCTCCTTACTGATGCAAAGTGAAATTTCTTTTTCCAGAACTCTACAAAAAGGTGGGTTAAGTTCCTCTTAGTGTTATTCAAACAAGTAGGGAAAACGGGTACCGGGAAGCAATTTGCAATCTCTGTTACAACTCCCAATAAGAACAAGTTGTTCACTGACTGTGTACCTAGTATACTTTGGTCAGCTTATGTGGGCCTCACCCTTCCAAATAAACACAACCTAGAATAATGGTCAACAGAAATTGGCAGAGAGCAGAACAAAAGTTCCAAAGAAATGATTATTAACATCTTCTGATGAATATGAATTCAATATCCATTGAAAACCATAACACTTTTTAAATGAAGGAAATATTCTTTTAAGGTAATAAAATGGTTAAAATACAAAGTAAAGGGAATAGATCTAAAGGAGGGTGGGCGAGGAATGAGACAGAAATATTTGTATGAGAAGCAAGAGAGAAAATGTAAGAAAATTAAAAGAGTGGCAAAGAGGTGCAGAATCTGACTAGCAGAGTTTTTGTAAAGAAAACATCATTGACAATTCTTTGATTGTTTAGTAGAATTCATTTGAGCAGCCACTTGGTCCTGGGCTTGTCTTTGTTGAAAAGTTTTTAATTGCTTCTTCAGTCTCTTTGTTATTGGTCATTCAAAGTTTCTATTTCTTCCTGAATCAGTCTTGGTTACATTTTTCTAGAAATTTACTAATTTCTGTAAGTTATCCCATTTGGGGCATACAATTGTTTGTAGTCATCCCTTATGACCATTTCTTTTAAAATTTCAGAGACAACTCTTGTAAGAGCTCCACTTTCATTTTTTACTTTACTTGATTCTTTTCATAGTTATACCATTGATTTTTCTTTTATTTACTTTTTCAAAGAACCAATTTTTGATTTTATTGGTTTTTTTTATGGTTTTCTTTTCTCTAATTGATTTATCTCTTTTCTAATCTTTATCATTTTCTTCCTTCCGGTAGCTTTGGGTTTAGCTTGCTCTCCTTTTCCTTGCGTGTTGAGACATAATGTGAAGCTCTTTATTTGAGGTCTTTTCTAATTTTAAATATAATTATTTATTACTATAAAGTTCCCTCTTACAATTGCTTTTACTGGATTCCACAGGCTTTGGGCAATTGTGTTTCTGTCATCCTTTGTCTCAATCTTTAATTTCTTTTTAGATTTTTTTCTTTGACTCATTGGCTATTTGAAGCAGGTAGTTTAATTTCTGCATATTTGTGTGTTTTCCAAGATTTCTCCTGCTGTTGATGTAACCTTCTTGGGTTTATTAAGATTTGCTTTGTGGGTTAATTTATGGTCAATACAGAACAATATTCCGTGTGTACTAGAAAAAAAAAGTTTATTTTGCTGCTATTGGATAGAAAGTTCTATATAAGGTTTTAAGGTCCATTTTCTCTAAAATGCAATTCAAATCCAATATGTGCCTATTACTTTTCTGTCTGGTTGATCTATTATTAAAAGTGACAAACTGAAATCCCCTACTATAACTGCATTGTCATCTATTTCTTCTTTCATGCTCATTAATACTTGCTTTACATATTCAGGTGCCCCACTGTTGAATGCATATATATTTATAATTTTATATCCTCTTGATGAATTGGACCCTTTATAATTAAACAATGACAGTCTTTGTCTTTTGTTAAGTGTTTTAAATTCCGTCTATTTCATTTGTTATAAGTATAGCTGCTCCTGTTCTCTTTTGATTGCGATTTGCATGGACTGTCCTCTCCCAAGCCTTCACAGTCTATTCTCTATGTGACCTTAAGGGTGAAGTGGGTCTCTTGGCAGCATATGCAGCTGGATCTTGTTTCTCATCCACTCAGCCACTCTATGTCTTCAGATTGGAGTTTAATCCATTTAAATGCAAAGTAATTATTGATAGGTAAGAAGTTACTCCTGCCATTTTGAAAATTATTTTCTGGTTGTTTTGTAGCTCTTTCATTTCTTCTCTTATTTGTGGTTAGGTGATTTTTCTATTGTGTTAAACTTTGATTCCCTTTTGCTTTATGTATCTGCTGTAGTTTTTTGCTTTGTAGTTACCATAAAGCTTATGAAAAACATCTTATAGTTATAATAAACTATTTTAACCTGATAACAACTTAACTTTAGTCACATTTAAATCTTCTTTACACTTTCACTCCATAATTAAATTTTTGTTGCTAAAATTTACATCTTTTTATATTGTGTATTCCTTAATAACCTACATTTGATTTTTAAACTTCTTACTAGAGAGTTGAAAAATTTACACAGTACTATTACAAAAATGAAGTATTCTGAATTTGACTGTGAATTACTTCTGGTAGTGAGTTTTATACTTTTATATATTTTCATGTAAGTAATTAGCATCCATTTGCCACCAGCTAAAGTGCTGCCTGAAGAATTTGTTATCAGGCTCAGGCTGAATTCCTCAGCTTTTGCCTACCTGGGAAAGATTTCATTTCCTCTTCATTTCTGAAACACAGTTGAGCAGGTTATAGTATTTTAGGGTGGCAATTAATTTTCATTTTGCACTCTGAACATAGGATTCTCCTTTCTCCTGGTCAGCAGGGTTTCTGCTGAGAAATTCACTGATAGTCTGACTTGGGCTCACTTATCTGTAACTTGACACCTTTCTCCTACTCCTTTTAAGGTTCTCTGCAGTGACTTTTGACAGCTTCGGGGCGACCTTACATGGGTTGGTTGTATCTGCCTAGAGACCAGTAAACTTCATGCAGCTAGATGTCCATGTCTGTCCTAAGACTTGGGACATTTTCTGCAATTATATCATTAAATTTTCTATGCCTTTCTCCATTTCTCCTTCCTCTACAACTTACACAATTCCAAGCCATTTAGGTTCCTATTTTTAGGTTCCTCTGCTTGCCACCTACCAGATTAAAGGAGGACATATATTTGGATGAAAAGGAAAAAAGCTTTATTCACAGATAGAGAGGCCCATTTGCCTCAAATCACCATCTCACTGTTTACAGCTGGGCAGAGGTCTTTTAAGAAGAGGAACTCGGGGGAGGAGGAGCACAGACAGACAATGTAGGTCTCCACCCTTGCTTTATCACTTCCAGACATCTTAAACTCATTGTCACCTTTCTTAGGAAGGAAAACTGGGCTCCAGCCCTCCTGGTGTCACCATCTGCATATTCTGTCCCTTTATGTGGGGCTGAGGAGAGGTGTGGCTGTTGCATCTGGGAATGAGCACTGGTGTTCCAGTGGGATGAGCAGCTAACTCAGCACCAGTAATGAATTAAAGGGACAGAGTTACAAAGGAAGGCACTTTATTTGTAAGGAAGAAAAAAGCAGAAGGCAGAAAGCTGCCCCAAATAGGGGTAGGGGGTTCCAGAAAGATGGATTTCTGCAGGCCTTTGTCTCCAGCTATTTTTATCGGGTGATAAAGGCCTTCCCCCCCCAAGTTGGCACCTGGAACTTGTCACGACCTGATTGGATCTCTGAACTTTCATGGGTGGATCCCGGGCCACAGGATCCTAACCCAGGGGCCAGTGTCTGTGCACATGTTTCTTGATGGGCTTTGGTTATTTTCCTGCCCATTTGTCTTTGTCAGGGCCTATCGCTGGGATTTACAGGTTGGCTAGGGGGAGTCTTATGGAAAGGCAAGTTAAAAGTTAGTAATTAAGGAGATGTGTGTTATCTAGTACAGCAAAATAGAGGCCCTAGAATGAGAATACATACACATACCATAGCTTTTTAAAGTTAGTAGCCCCCCTTTCTTGCCTCCTTTGTATTTCATTGGAGGTAGGGGACACTACTATCTTGGCTTTGAGCACCTGTCTTTTCCTGTGCTCTGCCTGTCAGCCTACCTCTGACCCTGATGTAAGTCCCAATGATATACGCAGTGATCACATTCATCATAGGGGATTTGTACCTGTACATAGTATATCGCTTCTTCTTTTTCCCATACCCCTCCCTCCCTTCAATCTTTCTTCCCCTCCTTATTTACAAAAGCTTTGTTTCCATTCTTCTCTTTTTTTCCTTCTCTTTCCTCCCCACTTCCCCCTCCATGTTCCCTTCCCATTTGAACAAGTTTTTGTTTTGTTGGTTTTTTGGTGACCCTCCTTTTTAGCACACTGTAAATTGGTTGACACCTGTCCTATGGGGTCTAACAATCTTCCCGTTCAGGAGATTAGGTGACTCACCAAGGTTATAGGATCATGTAGAAGAAATCCTCTTATGTTTAGGGTGCTTGTTGACTTTGGAGGGCCAGGGCCAAAATATTGACTGTCCTCTTGACCAATGTACCTTTTCAGCTCTGGTCTCTTAAACCTCAGTTGTTGAACACCCAGAAGATCAGTTATACCAGTATTATAATTAGAGTAGTAGATTTAATTTAATAATCTTCTCACATATATCAAGCACCTTGGAATTTGTAATATGGCCAGGGAACTGTTATTTTCTTATCAATCATGGTTGTCATTGGAGTTGAACCACTGTAGAATCCCTGTAGAATGTTAACAGGTAACGATTATAAAGTTTTACAGAGAAAACTTGAGACCAAGAGCAGCATAACCTTTTAGCATAACAATCATCATGATAGTATTATATCAAACCATTAGGTTTTGTCATTATTTTTGAAACACATTTAAATGTTTACCTTAGTATAGAAAACCTTTTTATCTTTATGACTTAAAGAACTTTTATCTAAATTTGTCATCTTTCGATAGTGTCATTGAAGAAGAATATACTGTCCATAGATGCACCTTATATATTATTAATGTCCAACCTTTAACTTTTAGAATGACCTAGACCACACAATGTTTGAGCATCCCTAACTGTGGTAGCATGTAGATAACATACACATAACAATCACATAAGAATAAGTCTTGAAAAAAATATCTGCCTCGTCTGGCTGGTTGTCTCATGCTGGACTGACATGCATGTATTATCATAACTAGCTATAACACAACTAAGGGAAAGCCAAATGCTTGAACCTAAAGAAAATGTTTACCACCATAAATAACTTTAACCTGAAAGTCGCCAGTATGAGATGTTTTTTAGTTTTGTATCTTTGAAGACTTCTATATTCACGAAACATAAATATATTTAATGTACCATGAAGTCAGCAATAATGAATGTCACAGTTATATAGAAATCTTTGTATATATTAACTTAGTTTTTACATTTAAGGCAAAATTTAGACCCGTTTAACTGGTTTTATGATGTGTAACTGACGAGAATCAAAGAACATCCTTAGAGCTCTTGTAAATCTAGAAAATGGAGTTTGTGTCCAGCAAACTATGTGAGGCAGTGTCCCGTGAAGAATTTTTTCTTCACAGCTTTGTTTTTCTAGGCCTAGAATTTTTGTTTTCCATTTTTGGTTGGTCCTGTTACTGACTTTTCCTTAACCTCCTTTAATGGAGGTTTTGTGTACACACTGAGAGTCTCTTTTTTGTACTTTTAACCCCCTTGCAATTGAAGTTTTTCTTATATATCTGTATTTAACCCACACACACAAAGACAGTGGAGAGCTTTTTTGAGTGTCCTCTAGGACATGTCTCAGTCACACATTTGATCCCCAAAAATGCCTTGATCATGAATAGACTCGTTGTCCAACACTCAGGTGTGACTCATCCATACAATTAAAAATATCTGTTTGGGTCGCGAGGAAGAAGCCGAATCACCCTGCTGCAGACAGGCAGGTCTGCCCATGCCCTACCGAGGTCCTGAGTCGCACAGAGCACGCCGAATCAGCCAGCTGCAGACAGGCAGGTCTGTGCACGCCCTACCGAGGTCCTGAGTCGCACACAACACGCCGAATAAACCCGCTGCAGACAGGCAGGTTTGGCCACGCCCTACCGAGGTCCCCAGGAGTGCAGAATATGCCGAATCAGCCCGCTGCACACAGGAAGGTCTGCGCACGCCCTACCAAGGTCCTCAGTCGCGCGGAAGACACCAAATCACCCCGCTGCAGACAGGCAGCCACCTGGTTCCACACT